CGTGTGCGTGGCGTAAGCGGCGTCGCGTGAGCGGGTATACCGGCGTAGGCGCGAGCGGCTTAAACGACGTGGGCGTGGCGTAAGCGGCGTGCAGCGGCGAGCGGGAAATTTGAATTTTAGCCGATGAATCGACGATGGAAAACATTGACAACGTTTTCCATCGTCGATTTTAATCGACTTAATCGAATAACTGTTGCAGCTCTATATATGTTCCAATTTAAAATCCATATCCAGTTTGTACCCATCAAATGCCAAAGTGCCTTTTATTTAAACTTTTTACAATATAGCATACTCTGAAATAGAGGTAATATGTAAAACAGAAGGTATCCATCACAGTTCAGACCATACATTTAGCAAAGAGGAAAGCAGTATCAACAAACCGGACATCACCCTAAAACAGGCAGATAAAGAAGTCAGTATTGTGGTAGAAAGGGTTTTCTGCACCACAGAAAAGAATCATCCAGCACCACTGTGTTTTGTTGTCGTTCTGGTGTTGCTGAACTCACCTGCGCATTCCCTCTTTTTAAGAAGTACCAAATTGTTGATTTCTTCTATTTCTATAATGGATTTATTTTGCTTTCTTAGCTCAGTAATGGCCTTTGTTTTACTTGCATTGATAGCTATTTGGACCTCATGTTCAGAGTTTCCAAATGCAATTTCTACACACGGCATCAACTGCAGGCCTTTTACCTGATCTATTGTCAATTGCATAATGAGGGACCTGGTTATGAAACCGCTTGTCAAAATAATGTCCAATTACATCAGGTCCTTTTGACATGTTTTGTAATTCCTAAACCATTCACCCAATTATGATGTAAATACCCCTGAATTAAAGTCTACCTGTAGCCGGTTGTTTTTTGTTTTTCTAGAACTCTCTGTTTTTATTACTGTCTGTGTCCTCGCTGGGATAATTCACACCTTGTATTTCTCCTGGTGACCATTGTCGCCAAGAAAGTGGTGAGAAATCAAAATTTGAGTTGAGGTCGTGACCAGTCTCCCACTGAGGACACCTGTTTCGGTAAAGTGGAATTTCCCCTTACTTTGTTGAGATTTAAGACGGCCATACACAATATGATCTTCTTTAGATTTACCTAAGCTATGTAATATGAGGACAAACCTAAACAATCCACTCAATAAGTATCCATCCATCCTGATTGGTTGGGGAGCCGTCTCCATGCTGTTTGGCCAGCTTGATGCTGACTGGCTGGGAAGATGGCTTCCCGGGCAATCGGCATCGAGCTGGCCAAACAGCATGAGTTCGGACAGAGTGTCATTGCCCGCCACCCAGCTTCCCGATTGCCCGAGAAGTCGGCTTCATACTAGCGGAAGTACCTATATCGGTACTGGGTATAGGCGAGTACCGAAATATGCATTTTTGCAATTTTTTCTTATTGATTTGATTTTCAACTGCTGGGTTGCTAGCGTTTGTAAAATACCCCACAAACCATATATTTTCTGAAAGCGCAGGCCCGGTAGAATAAAAAGATGGTGATACTAAATTTGTAGGCCCTGCGATAATTGCGCAAATGTTTAAAAAAAAATTATTTTCTGACTAAATCTAAAAGATAAAACTGTATTGAGTTAATAAATAACAAATATTAGCAAATTTGTAATTGCGCCTTTTTGCGAAAAGGTAAAAAAATGAAGGTATGCAAAACTGTAAATAATCGACTTATTCAAAAAATTGTTTTGGTGTTTGTGTTGTGATTAAATGTATATTTAATTGCAACACAAGGTATCACAGCGCATGGCAATGAGTCACAAAGCTTTGCCATGCGCTGCCACAATTAATTTAATGTTTTGTTTTAAAGAAAAAAAAATAATAAAAAAGATCATGCACTGCGATGCGTTCTAACAACGCACTGCAGCGCATGTGCATGGCGTACACCACAATATGTGTGTGTTATGTGGGGGAGGGAGGGGTTGTGCTTTTTTTTACTCCTGGTTACCTAGTAACCAGGGGACGCTGGACTGTCATGAGAGCTTGTCGGAGCCGGCTTTGATATGACCGCCGGCTCCGACAAGCTCTCATTGTAATGACAGCTGGTCCCGTCCAGTAGGAAACAGTTGGGCAGAGCTAGCTGTCACTGCTAACTCTGCCCAAACATTTTCTCCTTTTTTTTTTCCCCTACTTTTTCGATTCTGCTCGGTACCACAGAGGTACCTCTTTGGTGAGGAAGGGGCGTATTTTGGAGATGTTACGAAGGTGAAGGAGGCAGGATTTGGATAGTGATTGGATGTGGGAAAGAAAGGTGAGGTCCGAGTCAAGGATGACACCTAGGACCTTGGCATGAGGGGAGGCCTGGATAGTTGTGCTAAGGATCCCAAGGGAAAAGACGGGAGAAGATGCACGGGCAGGAGGAAATATCAAGAGCTCAGTTTTTGAGAGATTGAGTTTTAAGAAGTGTTGCGACATCCAGACGGATATCTCGGATAGTAGATTAGTGACACGAGAGGACACTGAGGGGGTGAGTTGTGGAGTAGAAAGATAGATTTGAGTGTCATCGGCATAGAGATGATATTGGAAGCCATGTGAGGTGATCAGCTGACCCAGGGAGGAGGTGTAGATGGAGAAGAGAAGCAGTCCAAGGACAGAGCCTTGGGGGACCCCTACAGGAAGAGGAGGGGAGGATTTAGAATTGTAGGTGACGCTGAAGGAGCGCTTAGATAGGTAGGAGGAGAACCACGAGACAGCAGAGTTTCACTTGTAGTCCAAGTGACTGGAGTTTTTTGAGGAGGAGCAGGTGGTCAACTGTGTCAAAAGCAGCAGAAAGGTCTAATAACAAAAGTAGGGAATAGTGGCCTTTGTTTTTAGCAGTGAGTAGGTCATTAGTGAGTTTTAGGAGGGTGGTTTCAGTGGAGTGTTGGGGGCGAAAGCCAGATTGTAAGGGGTCAAGAAGGTTGTGATCAGCTAGGTGGCGACTTAGGCGGGGGTAGATGAGGCGTTCTAGGAGTTTGGAGGTGAATGGGAGTAAGGAGATTGGTCTGAGATTATTGAGGTCAGTAGTGTCCATTGAGGGTTTTTTGGGTATTGGGGTGACCAGGGCATGCTTCAGAGGGGAGGGAAATATTCCAGTAGAGCGTGAGATATTGAAAATGTGAGTAAGAGAGTGTAGGATAGAGTATGAGGGTAGCGGTGAAGGAACAGGGTCCAGGGGGCAAGTGGTCAGGTGGGTGTCAGAGAGAAGCTTTGTAACCTCCTCTGTGGTGACGGGGTCAAAAGAGGAGAGTAACAAGTGTGATGGAGGGTCTGGCACATGAATAGGGGAAGATGACTGCACAGTGGCGATCTTTATGCACTACATTACTAAGCATCCTACAAAGCTAGCATGAATAAAGCTATGTCGGATAAATCTCCATGTACATTATGTTTACTGAATGTGTACGCCATGCTTTCAATATAGCTTAACTATTCATTTATCTAATTTTCAGCTATAATTCTCATTGTCCAAGCTGACCAGGTGGTCAGTTTATCCACCATGATGCCTGGGGAGAATCACTCAAAAGCTGCAGGAATTGCAGCAGAGGCAGCAGGATCCTGTCGGAACTGTACATCCTTACAGCAGGTAACAAAATTATTAAACTGTCTTCACACAACCCACATTGTAGATCATTTCCATAACATTGGCAAGCATTTTTTGAAGTTAATTGAGATCTTGACTCTTGATTTCCTGCAGTGGATTACCACATAGAAGTAAAACTGTGATTTTTGAGCTGTATTTTTACAGCTCTAGTGGGTTATTGATAAGCTTTTAAATGTAGAATTCACCAAATCTAATTCTCACCATTTTAAATGTTTTCTACTTTTGACTTTCTTTTAAGATGTATCTCTATAAAGGAAAAATAAATACCGGTAAATGTTCCCTTTTTGTATTTGTCGTATTTTGTCTTAATTTGAATCCAACATTGCCAACAAACATTACCAAATCCTTTGTAATTTGGTTGTTTATTGGCTTTAATGCTCATCCTCTGAGTTGTTTACTGAGCCAGATCATGTATACATCAAGTGAATCTAAAATTCTCAATCTACATTATCCCAGGGCAGCGACTCTCAAGTGTACCTGGAGGATGAGGTAAACAAGTCAATGTGTTAGATTCTCCAAGGTATTACAAGAGCTGTCATTGAAGGCAGGTATAATATATCTCCAGGAAAGACACTTTACAATTGGTACTCAGACTTCAATTCAGAGACTTTCCAATGTATATTTTTAGCAACTCTTAAAAAAAAAAAAAAATTGATAGGAGCCAGTATATGATTTCATAAGCATTTCTTAGTCCATCTAGAATTTAAAGTAAAAGACTGACAGGGCAAATACCTGATGCTTAATGGATAAGTTCACCTTTTGCAAAAATTTAAGAAATGCATAATTAACAATAACAATATATAAAAACGTATGCATTTCTTTAATATTTGCATGCAGGCCTGGAAACCATTGCAAGTGTGTTCTGTCGATGAAAGCTCAGGCTTCTGCACGGTTTCAAACTGGCAGAGCTCGTACGTAGGTACAGAGTTTCAGTTAGGAGAGATGGGGGGGAAGGACGGCTCGACTTCAAACTGCTCTGCCAGTTTGAAAATGTGCAGAAGCCTAAGCTTTGCAGCTGTGATGGGTTGATCACAATGGTAATGCTTTCCAGGCTTGAATGCAAATATTAAAGAAATGCATTTTTTAAATGTATTTATTATTAATTATGCATTTCTTTAATTTTTGCAAAAGGTGAACTTATCCTTTTAAGGTGGACCTAACCTCAAATTTTCTACAGTATGTTTTAGGAAACATCCAAAAATATTAATTGTGCCTAAGCAGTAACCTGGAAAATTTACCTTTTTAGTCTTGAATTCCTCCTGAAACGTAGCAATGCACTTCCTGGTTTGTGAGGGTGCCTGGACACTTTTGTGCCTACAATCTCATAGCTTTTTATATGCAGTATGAAACCCGAGGCCTTGTTCACACCAAATGCAGACCAGATCCGGTCAGGTTTCTGCACACGCACGATGCGTTTTTGAAGCGTTTTTTTTGCATGAAAAGCAGCTGCAGGTGTCAGTGAGCAAACAGGCAGTGTAGGCAGGAGGAGTGGTGGGGGGAAGGGGGGTGGATGGAATACTGCATTTGAGGAACTACTAGTATACAATGCCATTCACATTGAAGTACTCACCACAGCTCTCCTTATCTGTCAAGGACATATCCTTATATCCTGGTAAAACTCTCCCTGCTATCAAACTCCACTGGTCAGCCTTCTTTCTATTCTTATATTGAAAGCGTCTGCTGTCATATAGCTCAGGGCACTGTTGAACCATACTTATGAATCTCTCTGGGTCACAAAACTGGTCCACCATTTTTCCTTTGCGCTCCAGCTCACAAGGTCACCTTTTCCAAAGACAGGAAGTGACAAAGGAAGATTAGGTCATGACAGATGACCATAGAGGTTTTTTTTCTTTATGGTTATTTTTTCCCATTGAATTGCATTGCGTTGCGTTTTTGATGCGTTCCAGAGCAGGTAAAATAGGGCTTGCCGCAGTTTTTTTTACCTGCTCTGGATCTGGTCTGGATCCGCACACTGCGATGTGAACTGTAGGTCAAAATACCATAGGAATACATTGGACGCAGTTTTGATCCGGTCTGCACCTGCTCTGGTCTGGATCTGCTCCGCGCTTGGTGTGAACAAGGCCTAAGACATTGTTACCGCCGACTGCTAGTCTCACTAGATTTGGAGTGTGATCTAATGATGTCACTATTGTGCTGACTCACCACAGCTCTCCTTATCTGTCAAGGACATATCCTTATATCCTGGTAAAACTCTCCCTGCTATCAAACTCCACTGGTCAGCCTTCTTTCTATTCTTATATTGAAAGCGTCTGCTGTCATATAGCTCAGGGCACTGTTGAACCATACTTATGAATCTCTCTGGGTCACAAAACTGGTCCACCATTTTTCCTTTGCGCTCCAGCTCACAAGGTCACCTTTTCCAAAGACAGGAAGTGACAAAGGAAGATTAGGTCATGACAGATGACCATAGAGGTTTTTTTTCTTTATGGTTATTTTTTCCCATTGAATTGCATTGCGTTGCGTTTTTGATGCGTTCCAGAGCAGGTAAAATAGGGCTTGCCGCAGTTTTTTTTACCTGCTCTGGATCTGGTCTGGATCCGCACACTGCGATGTGAACTGTAGGTCAAAATACCATAGGAATACATTGGACGCAGTTTTGATCCGGTCTGCACCTGCTCTGGTCTGGATCTGCTCCGCGCTTGGTGTGAACAAGGCCTAAGACATTGTTACCGCCGACTGCTAGTCTCACTAGATTTGGAGTGTGATCTAATGATGTCACTATTGTGCTGCTCACTGTTTTCCTTACTGTTGGTGCTGACACATGGAAAGAAAACCCTGCCTCTACCAAGAAGGTCACCTCATACATATACACAGTGCAGAACAAAGCATGGTGAGTCAGTAATGGGGGAAATATCTGTGAGGGGATACCTCAGGAAGTAAATGTGACTAGTCCTTTGCCATCTACCTGCCTTTTTTGGGCACAGCTTCCAGAGTTTAGTTCCTCTTTAAGAGATTTTATAGATTAATAAAATTACTATTTCCAACATATGTGACTGTACACTATGTAAAGAACTGTATAAATTAATGGTGCTATATAAATGCCTGTAATAATAGATAAAATATGTGCCTAATAAAATCCAAACAATCTTTCTAACAATCATCACCAATAAATATACAAATTGCAAAGAGTGTCCCAATTCTTGGCTGGAGAGTTCAACATTTGCTTAAACCCACTCCTAGATTTGGCCCTTTGGCAAGTTACATATTTTGTATGCCAAAATCAAACAATTAAAGCAAATATTGCATGGGAAAAAAAAATATTTTGCCTGAAAACCCTAGCACTAGAGACTTTACAATATTACCTTCATAATATGTTGGATTATTACTCACACAGCCACCTTACCTCAAGTGAAATGTAAAGAACCATTAACTGCTGAAAGCATAGGATTTGTGACTTAGCTGCTTTTCTTGGGGTACAGTACAGGACACAGGAGATATTATGATGGATGGGCTAAATATCGGTATTATCAGATCACTGGCCACAACAGTTTGGAGCCTATATAACCCCTCCCACTACCGCAGATCCTCATTTATTTGCAAGCAATAGATGACATACAGGGGAGGGTCCTGTGTCCTGTGACATGGGAAGAAAAGGGTTTTACAGGCAAGTCAAAAATCCTAGTTCTTGATCATACATAGCAGGAATCATGATTGATGGGATGTCCAAAAGCAATAATCGAGGGGTGGGCATGGACCACAACCACTAGTGTGCGCAGCACAGGATTAACCTACTCTATCACCTGCAGGACTATACAGCCAAAATCAGTATCTGCTGATGCCTGCACATCCACCTTTTTATAAAACCTAGTGAAGGTATGAATGGACCGCATATCCAAATCTGCTGAGCAGATGCCTGGTTAGAAAGCACGCAGGAAGTAGACAGCTCTGGTGGAATGGACCATGATTGGAAAAGTCAGGGACACATCCTTTTTAGAATAAGCCCAAAGAATGACCTGTCTAATCCAACCTGCCATAGTAGAACAGGAGGCAGAGAAACCCCTCTTTGATCCAAAAAGGAGAATAAACAGCAAATCTGACTGTTGCAAAGAAGAGGTAACGTTGAGCTATACCCGTAACGCCCCTACAATATCCAAAGAATGCGATGACTCCTCCATAGGATTCTGAAGATCTGGAGAAAAGGAGAGCAACACAGTACCCTGATTTAAGGTTATGATGCGAAAAGAAAGACTGTCTGGTCCTGAGAATTAAAAAAACTTTTTGTTGGTGCAATGAAAGGAACAAGAACTGAGCACCGAAAGTTGTCTTACCAAACAAATCCAAGAAGACTGGCGTCAGAGATACCGGGACCGGAATCGATGCAACTGGAAGTGACATGCATGGAAGTCCACTAGCGCCAAAAAAGGAGGACATCTAGGAGGAGCTGAACAAATTCCTTTACTAGAAAATGTGAAGCCAAGGTCTCTCGAAAGAACTGTTTCGAAAATTTAGCCCTTAAACGTACTTTGGGCGAACCTCTGATCCAACCCTGATTGTAGAAATGCTCTGGCCCATCAAGAAACCTCTAGGGTCCAAGTTCCTGTTTTCACACCAAGCAAAGTTTGCTTTCCATGTTCGGTAATATACTCTATGAGACGAGAGCTTCCGTGCTTGTAATAAAGTAAGAATAACGTTTCTTTGAGCCCTTTTCTCTTATGACCTGGGCTCAACCGCCATGCCATCAAACCCTGTGAGTGAGAATCAGGGTGGTAGATTTACCCTGAGATGGAGCCTCCATAGAGGTTTAACAGACAGATGTAGGATATTTGTGAACCACACTCTCCTGGGCCAACTGGTATCCTCCAGGATCACTGGAATCCCTTCTAAGGCTATTCTGCAAAGGAGATGCAGAAGAATCTTCAATGGTGGAAAAGCATAAATCAGGCTGAATTGATCCCACAAAGTTACCAGAGCATCTACTGCCTTTTAAAGGAGAACTATGGGGTCAGTGTTTTTCCCCATAG